AGCCCCCCAGGCCTTGCACATGGATCATAACATGAGTAAAGCTGCAGCAGAGCAGAGAGGAGACAGTTTGATCAGTCAGTGTCACTCAGGTCGAATTAGTCCTCGGGCTCTGGATCCTTCACTTGTCAGTGGTGCTTTGATCAGCCGCCCAGGCTGCATGGACAAAGTTTTAGCTCAATATCTGTAGAAATGACTGAAATATTTATATTTTTGTCTTTGCTAACATCCTGAAGCTGTGTTGACCATACTTAAGTTGACTTCAAAAGATAAGTTGCAGATGTTCTTCAGGTATTTTACTAACAGAAACAATGTTATCTGCAGTATGTCCTGATGCATGTTCAATAATCCATGTAGAAAAAAAAAAAACTACACGGCAAATTTAATCATCCTATCATCAACTCATCAATCAAATAGGCCACACAAGGAAGTAGGAAGATTTTTTCAAACCAGGTTTAATCCTTGCAAGGAGGTACAGCATTGAAAACAGGCATACAAGATGTTATACAAAGCCATGTTCACAAGGTCTGTCCATGGACAACGAGTTAGGATCAGCTAAAATACCCGTTATCAACAGAAGCGAGGTCAAGACGACCTCTGCTTCACAGCTCACAGTTGTTGAAGGTGTCAGAGTTTATCGGTTGTCAGGCTCCTCTCAGAGTAGACAGAGACTCTCTTGACTTCACATTTATGGTTCTATATTAATTTAACATTAGTGAATGAAAACATCCATGACCTTTACATAACTTCCCCCATCAGTTAAGTCGGGTCCTCTGGACGGATTCTTCTTCTTGAAACATTTCATCTTTTATCCAAAATACTTCTTCAGTCTGTGACCCTGCAGTAAACTCAGTCTTATAAATAATACATTATCATAGTGGGTCAGCCATTTTGTTTCTAAAAGTCAGAACTAGCTAATCGCATGTAAAAGGAGGACCATCAGCCTAAAGATGGGTCGCGAGAGCCCAAACAGTTGGTAACGACCAATTGAGTTGAAGAAGTCTTTTGGATAAAAGACGAAATGTTTTAACAAAAAAGAATCCGTCCAGAGAACATGACTCAACCTTGTTAGAGATATAGGTACCACTTTACAACACGGTTCCCCTTATAGATGCTAATAAATAAATAATAAATACGTTATTAATTATTCTATAAACACTTTATAAATCATTAATAACTGCTTATTATGCAATAATTAAGGGTGACAGAGACAAAACTGACCAGTTTCTTGCCAAAAAGTGAGACAAATCTGTTCACCTATATATTTCATCTAGAGTTGTTGTATTAAACATTTCAGACTAAGTTACTACCTTGTAAGCCCAATAAGAATTTGTAAACCTATTATTTTAAGGATATTGTATAGTACTTTATCATTGTATTATAAGTAACTACAACTAATATTATGAACAGATTTGGCTCACTATTTGGCAAGAAACTGGTCAGTTTTGTCTCTTTCTTGCCCATAATTAATGCATAATAAACAATTATTAATGGTTTATAAGGTGTTTATAGAGGCATTAACAAATCTATAAACTACTTATTAGCCATCTATAAGGGGAGCCTTATTGTAACGTGGTACTGAGTTATCTTAATTAGTTAATGGCAAAGTTTTTAAAGCAAAATTTGTATAGTTAGCTCGTAGAGCATGTGTTGTGAATCATTCTCAGCTACTACTACATTTTTTTAACTCAACATCTTTAAGATTGAATCAGTTCTAAGTATCTCTGTGTTTGATAATGTTGCTAAGCTTTGTTAGCCATCTTGAATTAGATAGACTCAAGCAGTTAATCATTTGCAAATTTACTTTTATTGATTAGTTTCTGAGAGCTTCAAATTTAACCAGTGGTTTGTGAGATATTTTGCTAACACAACATAGTTATCATATCTGTAAGGAGGATTACGCAAGTGTGATTGTTCAGAGTTGTCTTCTAAAGGCCGTTGAAAGAAATGAGAGTGAAATGGGATAGATGAGAGGGTTGAAATGAGAGTTAGTCCTATGATATTAACTCTTACATCTTTTTCTTACTGTTTTCCTGCTTTCTGTTCCACAGGGTTATCAGCGATCAAACCACTTCATTGCCACTCAAGGTGAGTGTACAGTTCAGTTTGTGTGTGGCTAAAAGCTAACTTTACTCAAATGAGTGTGTTGAATTATTAACCCACATGCAGCTTGTGTTGCATCATGATCACATCTGGATTTCCACAGTAAACAGTCACTTTCCCAAAACTGCTAGAAGCGCTCCCACAAGGATTGCCTGTAACTGTCAGAGACCGTACTGTTGCTGACTGTCGTCATCTGGAAAGTTCTGCTTTTGTGTTTCCCCTCCCTTCCATCTGTATGTGTGGCCTTGAGCTTCTCTGATGTCAGTTGATGCACTACATCTGCCGTGTTCCCTCGAGCAACACCCAAAGAGAAAGAGACAAGAAGAAAGAGAGCAAGACGTGTGCCTTTATTCTCCACCGACTCTGATCGTGTTTACTCACTGACTGTGTTTTTCGCTTGCTAATCCCTTCTGATTTCTTCCCATCTTCACTTTGGTCTCAGTTCTGTCACTCCTCAAAAGTAGCGACAGAAGAGGATGCTCTGTCTCGTTCACATTTTGCTCTTTTTTCACACTTGGGGTGCAGGGAGCTTGTTCAGGAAAACAAGTGCTCCAACAGGCCTTTTCAAGTCAGAGTGAAATTTTAATTTGACTTAAAGCAGCTGTAGATTGTCAAAGTTTGTTCCACTGTTGACATGGTGCTTCATAACCAACAAATGTAGCCACACAAACAGCTGTTTGCATTCATTTCAGCACCATTTCACCAGTCATGATCCAAAAAATTCAGCCACAAGTAAAACAGTCTGCACTGTGGAAAATATCAACAAAACAGGGCAGAACAATTTGCTCATACATCAATATTTTATTTACAACAGAACATAGTAAACATTAAATTATGAAAATAAAAAAAATTGCAATTTTGAACACAAAACACATGTTCTTGAATTTTATGGGAACAACACATCTAAAAACAAGTTAGTAAGAGGCAAAACAAAAGCTGTAAAAGGAAGTGGTGTGAATAAGAAATGACTAGAGAATTTTGTATCTAATTAGCTTAAGTCTTATATAT